TCCACTCACTGAAATCTTATATCCAAGCTTAAACCTGACCCAGACACAATCTCTAGCTTGAAAGGCAGAAGTATATTTAAAAAAAAATATGGAGGAGAAATAACAGACATCTTGTTATACAATGTGTAATTCAATGAAGGGACTTCACTGCCACAGAACAGCACTGAGTTTAAAAACACAGAAAAACTCCCTCTGAAGAATTACCCACAAAAAATCTGTAAGTGATAATATCTCTCGTATTGCAGGTTTTAATGAAAAGTAAATCAAGAAAGACATAACTGATTTTTCTCCTGTGCATTGTGCTGTCATACACAATGACAGCAACCTGTAATGAATTTTTAGGGGACAGACTGTGGGGTGAGGGGCCTGTGAATCTGAGTCAGCCTAAAAGTTTGTATTCATCTTCATACAACATTTCTATTCCAATTCTCTGGTAAACAGGTATCCTCAATAAATGTGGAAATTATTCCCATACATTTCAGAAAGGTCAGTTATTTGTATCACACAACATGAAATAGCTCTGTATTTTATGTTTTCATGCAAATCTCATCTTACATAGACCTGTTGAATTATTTCTTTATGATATTGTAAACAATCTGAAAATTATAAATGAGCAGTATGTCAGATATCCATGTAAGAGGACACAAAAATTTCTTTGTTCAAAGTTAAAGAAACTTTTTTCCAGCTTGCTGCAGCATGCTGTAATTTAGCTTTGAGCCAGTTATTAAACAAGACAATAATATTATAATGGAAATTGTTTAATATACATCATTAATAGTAAAGTGCCTGCTTTCATTGAAGTAAAAAAAATGTGTGCTATGAGCAGTTTTGAAATGAATATTTGATTCCAAAGTTCCCTTGTGCATTTAATGACATGCTAATTTACATTTTAATTACTTCCTAAGAAATCAAAGCATTTGTTGACAGAAGAACATAATGTCAACTTCACGGTGCACTGTTGGTGGATAGTTAATGAACTTAATTAGATAATTAGTGATGTTAATTATCCTTCTATTATGAAGATAAACATGTTACACAAATGATGCACTTTTCAAAGAAATATCATTAAATGTTTGCTTGTTTTAATGCAGTTAACTTGAAAAACTCATAAAAGACCAGCTGAGTGATTGTTAAGAAAAAGATTTAAATAATAATGGTGATCATGTTTCAAATATTTCTATCTTCTTCATTTCACCTACTATGAACTGCTAAGTTGGTCTTGACTCTCCTTCCTCCAAAATTAGCAAGCTAATACTTTATTTAGCAACCTAAGGTTTTTGTTCAACCGTGTTCTTCTCTTCACTACATTGCATACTTCTCCCCCCTTAAACAACCATTCTCTGATGCAGTTGTTTGAAAACCAAGGCTTATAAGCATCAGACTTAATTTACAGTCAGTTATTGAAAGATTCTATAAAAATGGAGGAAAGAAGTAGCTACTGTTTGAAGGCACTGGTCCACTACTTAGCTCTGAGTTCAGCTGCTGGTATAGTGTTGCCATTGACATCTTGAGTTATAATGGCAAAGGCTCTGTAAAATCACGAGATAAAGCTTCTTCCTTACAGAAGTCAAAATGAGCTAACAGTGATTTTATGTCCTGGGGACAACAGCCTTGGAATAAATTATCACCCTTCTCCTTCAACATCAGGCACTTTTGCTTGAAAAGCCTTCTTTAAAACTATGCTCTAAAATACAGATTTTTGAACAGACATCTGTGCACAGACATCTACTTCTTCCCCAAAACCTGTAAACATGACTGCAAAAGCAGGGACAGCCAGGAGCAAATAGAGCCCCAGTGTTCTTCCCTGATGGAATCATGTGGAGTGAGAGCCCTGCCTCAGATAGGGCTAATTCCACAACTATGATGCAGCTATTATTTGTTTTAGGTAAGTAAGCCTAGCACTGTACAACACACATTAAAAAACTCCTGTAAGTGTTGATGTAGAGATTTACATTTCCAGTGCAGAAGGAATTTAAGCCTATAGATCAAACTCCCACTTGGGAGTTGGGTCAGTGGAAATGTTATGTTTAAATACTTCTCAAAATACAATGCAGTACTGCCACAGGTGAATCACTAGTTATACTAGGTATACTAGCCATGTTTATCATAAGGATGAGTGTTACATATGAAAGGATTTTTAAAAATTTTTTGCTGGCTGTGAAATTTGAAAAGATGTAACAAACCAATACTTTTCTGTAACAACAACACTTTTGGTTGCTGGCCTAAGAGAAGCCTGGTGAATAAACACATAAGAAAACTAAAAAGAAAAAACAACAACAAAAAAACCCCCAAGTCAAAACCAAGCTGTTCATCAAACTAGTAAAAAAATCTTTAAGAGTTCAAACTGGGAGGAAGTCTCTTGAAGACTGACAAAATCAGCACAAAGGAGGTCAGATGTATCTATAGCTGTCATCACAAGCATATACTTGCTGACCAAAATCCTAATATAAAGTTTCTGGCTTTGCAATTACAAGTTAAGAGGTCTCTTAACCTCTTTATTCTGAAGACTGAGATTAACAAGACTTTTCTATTTCATTCTTTCATGTTATATGGGCCTCTGGCATAGAGGAATGTAATTAATGAACCAAAAGAAAAGAGGACAGACATGATCAGGCCTCCTGTAAAACTGAGGAGGCTCTGCATTTTTTGTAAAGAATAGTAGCCATATCTACAGCTTTGAGGCAGTGTGTCTTACAGGAGTTAGAAATAGGCTGCTTGCAGCCTTGCTCAGGCACTCCTAAAGAACCTCATGACACTGCATGGTAGAAGCTGTTGACTGATTTACAGTTGACTGAAAGACAATTGTTACAGTGTCCTTTGTTGCTCTTGCAGCTTATTGAAAATATCAAAAGCAGTCATTGCTAACCTTAAAATTAAATCCTAGGTTTTGACAGCAAAACCCAGTAGCCAACCCATTTTTTCCTTCTATTGGGCAAAGGTCTGAAATCTTGGCTTAATTTCTGCACTTTTCTCAGTAAGTTTTACTCAGTTTGGAAAGACCATGCTTAGCTCTCAGTAAATGCAAATATTTTTATTTCACTATGGGATTTAAAGTCTTTGTCGCTCACTACATAGTTCATACTGTTACTTTTCTTCATGTTTCAACGAGGTGCCTATTGCTGTAGGACATAAGTTCTTACTAGCAGTAGTGAAGATAGAGGCCAGTATCTACAAATCACTTTCCTAAGTGAATATAGAAGCCACCTGAGACACAGAAAATGATGCAAAATTGTATTATGGCACTTTTTTAAGTGACTACCAAAGTGGTCAAAAATATGAATTAAAAGCACAAATACCATTTATTTTTAATGTAACCTTTTATGTAACTTTTTCACTGTAAATGTATGAAGGAAGAGGGCTGTTCAGAAACAAATAAATTTTCGTCCTCTTAAATTTCACCTCTCTAAAAAGTGCATCAAACTCTGAAGGGAGGCTGAAGGGAGAAAGTGGGAAGGGGAGAATGAAGAACATTCAGAGCTGTATCTTCCTATCTTATGGAGAAGAACAATTTATCAGAGCTACAGAGCTGTCAGTACTTGACATGATAAGGAATAACACCAAGTGAGTAATGTTTCCTCCAAACCCAGCTCCTTTAATTACAAGCCGCTTCCTTGCAGAAGAGAGACAGAAGATGTAGAAACACCAATTTCATGCACTTGTGCCTGAATAATGTCTCCATGCTGCCTTTTCCAGATGGCAACCTTTTCACTGGAGGAACTAATGATGTGGGCATATTTAGGGAAAAACCAATAACGGAGTCTTTAACCTTCAACGGCAAAAACCATGTTGTACAAAATGTTCCTTGGGATACATTTACAAATATCAATTACATTGCTCACTGAGGTGTAATCAGCTGTAATAATCAAAATTAATTTTAAAAAATAATTAAACAGACCCCAGGGCAAATAGTCGACTCTCTTGTAGTATGACATCATGGTATACATATGTACCTGGGAAGAACTTGCTCCCTCTGTAAGCAGAAAAGTGATGTTAAGGAATGAGAAGGATGCTGTGGCATGCTGAGAAAACACTTGCAGCTCAGTAAGGTACTACCAGACACATTAGGTGGGTATCGTAGTCTTCCTGATCAGCACACCTGGAAGTGAACCAGGCATCACTGGGCATAAAGCTGCAATCTGCTATAGCTTGAGTTAGAGGGTTAAGTATCCCTAAAGTGATGCTATAATAGACACACTGTCTCCTCAGCAGGAGAAGAAAAACCTTAACATGTTAGGCACTGCAACAACACAAGCTTGGTTTAAAACTCTGAATACTCTGTCAATGCACTGCTGCCCTACCCTATAGCTAGTCATTCTAGTCCTAACGCACTTACAAGTAACATCTATTTGGTGCTTTTTGTTTCTATTTTTGACAAATGCCCAGCAAAAACATGGAAATGGCCCTTTCTTTCAGCAAAAGAGAAGCTCACAAATAGATAAGTTAGTTCAGCTGCATTGTTGACAGTATTTTGCCTACCCTCCAAATCCATCCCTGATTATATAACACTTGTTTCTTTAGGAGCTAAACTATAATTTGGACCTTTAATACTTCATATAGAGTAGAAAATGGAAGGACAGTGCTATGATAATACCTGATGCTTTCTACTAATTCAGTGTCTGAAGGACAAGGTTTACATAAGTGATGCAAGTGAGAAGCAGCAGCAAAGGTGGCATCTCCTCACCTTGCTCTGCCCCAAGCAGAGCCCTCTAAGTACAAGCATATATGTAGGTTTTTCCTTTCAAGTGCAATAATTGGGCTTTATGCAAAAAGTATGCATTATTACATCATATGTTAAGAGAAGTTTTTCAGCTCACTATTTCTTTGTGATTATTTATAGCAGCTTAGAAAAGGAACCTCAATTGCAATAGGTGTATAGTTTACAATGGAGCAAGTCAATTAACAGACATACTCAGAAGCCTCCCAAATCCAGATAAACTCTCCAAAGACATATAAAAGGCAGACTAGTGACCAAGCCAGAAAAGACAAAGTGTAAAATTTACCTCTGATTTGCATATTATTTCCTTTGTGTTTCGGCCAGGCATGGACCTAATAGCTGAAGACAGGCTTTCACTCCAGGAATTGTGCTTGCTCTGTGACAGGCCTGGCCCTGATTTATTTTGGAGAAGCTTCTTTTCAGATGCTGTAGGCCAGAACAGACAAAAAAGCATGTAAGACTTAAAGCTGAGCCTTTCAGAATATAGAGGGGTTGTATCCCCATTACAGAAGACAAAACAATATGGCAGTGCCTCACTCCAGATGGACTGTTCTTCTATTTGTATGACAACTGAAATAACACATACTTCTCAAGTTTTTATTTAAAAGCCTCACAGAGGTCTGCCGTAGATCAGTTTCATTACACAGACATGAACTTTGAATCACTGCAGCACTACACACATTTCAATGACTTCACCCAATATCCTCCCTTTTAAATTTTCCTATGAGACATGATTTAAGGAGATTTCTCTCTCTTGCAGCGCAGCACGAACCCTACAACATCCTCAGGTGATTAGAGAAGGGCTGATTATGACACAGAAAGCAATCCCAGTCCTGAATGAGAGAAACTGACAATCTGCCTTATCCAGCAGGTGATGGGCAGGGGACAGGTATAACCAAGGAACCGGCAGCTTTCCAGCAGGCACTCGGTTTACTGCAATGCCTTTGCTTACTACAATGAATATTCCATAAAAAACCAGAGACCTATCAAGTGCTGCCAAGCTTTTGTCATAATTTCTTCCCATAAAGGAGTGATCTCTGTTATCTTCATGTCCCTTTCTTTGTCATTTCCTTTTACAGAAAGATCCATCTTGTAAGTGTCCTCCAGAGCCTGCCGCCTCTGAGAAATGAGCTGCTTCCAGATGATTCCTACTGTTCTCAGAATCTCCTGATGGACTAGGAAACAAAAGAAATTATAAATGGAAAATCATTTTTTTGTGTAAAGAATCAAGCAACAGATAGAGCAAAACCATCTAATTTGGAACAGCTCTGGTCCAGAGTAACTGCTGGAGTCAGTGGAGTTGTTCCTTTTTGTCTATTGCCTCGGCAGGTTCTAAGCCAGAGTAGTTAGACAGACAGAAAACAGCAGGACACATCTTTTACAATATTCAACTCCCTGAAAGAAACAAGTAGGAGTGACAGATGAGTCTAACTGGTTTCTACCTTGGAAAAAAATCTCATCAGAATTTTGATGATCTTATTGTCATACAGAGAATGCAAAAGCACATAAAGGACATTATGTTGCCAAACATCATTAGATATGGAGGGGCGAAAGTAACCAAGTCAAGAAACAATTTGACACAGCAGGAGGATACTGTACAAGGAAGTTGCATCATAACCAAGCCAATACATATTAAAAAACAAAAAATAAAAAATAAAAAATAAAAGAAAGGACGCTGCTCTGCCATAGGTTTCAGCTGACAGCCCTCACACTGAATTCAACCCAAAATTTTCCCTGTGTTTCTCTTAAAAGAGCAAAATGCTTCTTCCTGTGTATAACAGACAGACACAAGCTCTATATGGGTCTTGAAAAAAAGAAATAGAACTACAAATAGTATGTGTCTGGCCACTGACTGGCCATAACATAGGGGAGAGATCTCCATTACTCCTGAGGATGTTGGGCATGACTTTTGAATAAAAAGGCATGTAACACAAGTAATTGTTTAGCACAACTTCCTTTATCTGTGCTGTGCCTACAATGTCTATACACAGCAGAGGAAATAAGTAGCACTTGCACAAGCTGCTCTGATAACTGCTTAGGCCAGGCACTTTCCTGCTCTGTAAGCCAAAGGCAATCTGTGGCATAAATTACCATCATCTGGAGTAGGCAGGCTGCCCTTTTCCTCTTCACTGGGTGCAAGAAAAATTTGGTGATAAGAAGCCAGCTTTGGTTTTGCATCCACCCCAAAACCTTCTGAACAGCTGTTATGAAGAGGGAAAAAAAAGGAGGGCAGGTGAGGAAACCAGACTTAGAGCAAACTGAGGACAGTGAAAAAGCTACAGGTGTTTCTGTACATCCACTCATACTTGATTCATTTGGTAGATCAATATTTCCAGGCTTGAGGACTTGCACCAATCACACAATACCACAGAATTTACAGGAAGTGGGAACTAAATCAGTGCTGGTCTGGTGTTCAACGTCAAGGAGCAGTCACTGAGATCCTATAGATCACTCTGCTGTACATGCCTTATCCCTGCACTTCTTCCTGCACTTGTATCTACCATTCATCTCAATCAGATAAAACACGGGCCTGTACTGATGTAGCCAGTCTGCATCCAGCTTTCTTGCACCTCCACTGGACATCTTGTATGTCTTGTATGGCAAAGCTGCCATTTTTATGTCTGATTTTCTTTTAATTACCACAGTTCTGATTCCCTGGCTTTGCTATGTTTGGCTTTTGGATAACACAAACACTTCTGTAATTAATTTTTAAAAAAAAAATGTTTCTGGTTTTACTACATACAAGCAATCCTTACCCTATCTCAACAGTTTTGGCCTGGAAATTATTATCTGACTGGAATAAGAACAATCAAAAGAAGACACCAGGAAGTATAGCTCATTTCCCATGTGATACTCTATTAATGGATTTAATCCAAACCACCTAAGCAGTACAGAAGGGTTTCAATGAAACAAGAAACATCATTATAGTGAATAAACTACTGGCCTTCCACAAAACTAAGTTTCCAAAATAACTCCCCAGCTTACACAAAAGTACATCTGGTATATCATCTGTAAGAACAGCAAACAGAGCAGATACGGATGTTCTAGCCCTACACAAGTCAGTGGCAAAACTCCCAACCTCAGTACGACCCAGACTTTGCAACTGAGATCCAAGTAACAATAACAGAAAGATTCACAAGATCCATGCACACTTTTATATATGTTTTAAATGTACCTGCATACGAATAGTTGCTGAATCAGAAAAAACATTTCATTACATTAGCCCATGCAGATGTCTCAGATAATGGCCACCTGCATGCTTGTGGAGAGATTCTAGTCTACATCCCAGGAGGATTTCCAAATTCTCATTTTACTGATGGGCCCGTGAACCAGCTCCACTGAAATCAGTTCAAGCTTCTTAACCCCAGTTACTACTCTGAAGCAGACTGCTGGAAATGCTGGATCCAGCTCAATCTCAGCTTCTAATGATTCCTCAAAATGGATTACTCAAGTTCTATGAAATCTCTCCCTCTGCACCTACTTCCATAGATACAGCCCAGAGATGTAACAAACATTATAATGAGATGAAGGTTTGTACCTGCCCGAGTTCAGTTGGCAAAGGCAGTACATTAGGCAAATGATAAAATTATTATTTGAGTTGTAAGTTGCAAAAATAATGTCCCAGTGCTCCTGCAGGACATTGAGAGTGTTCAGGACATTAAACTGTTCAGGCAGTGATTGTTGAGGTCTGGATAGGCAGTATAGGATGGCTCTGTTTAAACAGCTGTACAGGGCACTGAGGAAAACTTCCTTTTGAGAAACCGAGCTTTCTAAGACCTGTGAAAACACAAAACAGCACAGTACTTGGCTTGCTCAGAGAACTCTCTCCCCAAGGATCCACACCTCCCACTTAATTTAAGCTGTTGCAAACTTATTTCAGCAGAACTCCCCTGAACTACCTGTTAGATACAAATTCAATCTTTCTGTATTTCTGCTGAAGTCCCCAGAATTTTGGAAGAGATTAATTTATTCTTGTTCAGCAACATGTACATAACCAATGGACAGTGGCACAAAAGAATGGCACAATACTATCCCTTCTTTATGGGGCACCATCTATCTCCATTATCATTATCATTTAGAGCTGTTACGTGCTCATGCAAGAAACCAGAAATAATAACAATCACCAAATGGGTTACAGCCATCTTCTTTAGAATTGCAGTGTCACAGCCTCAGTGTGAAACATCATGTTACAATATGTTGATAACAGCTGGAAAAAACAATACCATGTGACTCACCCACATAATCTGTTTGGCAGTGAAGATCAGGATTTGCTTGGGGTCAGCAGTAAACATTCTGCTGTTCAGCTTCTCAACCAACTTCTGAACAAAATAAGCAATATTCATCATGGATACAGGTGCAGATGATTCTGAAGTACCATGAGGATCACTGCTCCCTGGAGGGGATACAAAGGGTTGATTATTCCATAACAAGCTGAAACGAAAAAAAATTTAACATGTAAGGTTACCAGAGCTGAGAAAGACATGCCATAATGTCTCAGAGCTGGGACATGTCTAAGAAAACACTAGGTCTAACAGAAACACCTTACTCAGACTGGATATGACAGCTTCATCTTAAGGGTGGAATCAATCTTAGTAAAATACTGTAATGGACTGATCCAACTAATGACTCAGAAAGGAGAGCAGCAACAACTAAATTATTTGGGTTGTTTCTAGAAGCACTCAAGGATAAACCTAGGTTTCTTTCTAAGTACTCTCTTTTTAATATTCAGAATCTGTTCTCAAAAAGAGAGAGAAAAAATTATAAACCCACAATAATTTATGCAAACTGGCCTACAGCAAGAGAGAACAGAACATCCAGCCTGCTGAGTTGGACTGTCCTTCTATTGCTTCCAAACTTTTCTAGCAATAACACCTACATGCTAAATATAAGCTAGTCAATGATCTGATTCTCACCACTTACCTCTTGGTCTTGTTTTCCCCTCGCCTTGGCTGGTAACATGGAAGACATCCATACCAGACAGCAAAACTTTTGTCTGAAAATGTCTCTTCTGCTCACTGGTGGCATCTTCTGGAGAAGCCTATATAGTGGCAGTATACATATTAGTACAGCAGGAAAACAGAAAGGAAATCAAACTCAAATTCACTTTCAGCAAGAGTGCATATGTGGATAGCTACTGTAGTAGATAGCAGAACTTCATACTTTAGTTGGAAAACCAGGAAATCTCACATAGGACTACACCATCTAGCTGATAGCCAACTCAGTTGCACACTGAACAGAAACAAGGTTTCACAAAGGGCCATAATGTAGGTTCACAGGTGGATTCCCAAGAGGTCTTGTCCTCAGGGAACAGGCTCAGGATTCAGACAGTCGGAAAACCATACTCTGTTTTAACTGTGTCAAACCTTGGGATACTGGCTAAACCTTTTGGGAACTCTTGCTCCACAAGATGATTTAACTCATGACAATTGCAGTCAAGCTTATGTTCATTACTATTTCTATTACTAAGCTAAGTCTGTATCAGAACTCGCATCTGGGATAACTGGACTATTGACAATTTAGAACTGAAGCCTAAATTTTTCTTTTTCCCTTTCTTCAGTCCACTTCAACTCTTTTGAGTGCTTTGAGTCATTGAAATCCATAATGTGGACTCAGCTACTACAGCTTGTATTGATCTGTACCTAAAGCGGAGACAGGATTTTTTCCTTTTGTCAGTTAGCACTTCTTTTACTAGGCCACTAGCAGGATACATCCTGTCCTTCCACCCCCAGGGCAAGATAGAGCAGCAAAGCCTGATGATAGGAGAAACCTCAAGAAGCAGCTCCAGTGGATGCCCTTGTTTGTTTGCTGGGACGTTGAGAAGACTATCCATCAGGAGGACTCGCACAAAATCCCACACTTGTTTCTTGGCAGGGTGTGGTAGGAGTGGGAGAGAGGAGGGATCAACACAGCCTTTCCCTTCAGCAATGGCTGGATCATCAGGAGTCAAAAGGCCTTCAGACCCTCCCTGTGAAAGTAGACAGCAATACATTCCAACTCAGTCTTCCTTAAAATGATTTTTTTTTCCTCCTAATGACCTATCTCCAATCTGAAGGGCTTGTGCTGGCTCATATACACATACCTTGGGTGGTCCTGAGTGAAAAGCAACCATAGCCAAAGTTTTCAGGAAGTCAGGACAGTGCCACACAGGGTCCTGAGTATAACTGTGATAGATCAAGCACAGAAACTGGATAACATTCCCTGGATAGGCAATCTCCCAGGAGGCTTCTGCATCTGCAATAGGCTGAATACAAACAAATGTGCATCTGGTCAAGTCAGCATTCTTCTGTGAAGCAAACATGACATGGCCATGGAGAAATCAGGCAAGGCACAGGCAGCCAACTCCTACCTTGCAGACTGAAGATAAACCCAACCAGAAGATGACATATCCTCATCATCAAGAATGAAAAAAGTTTAGTACTGCTGTGGGTAAGATCAGTCTCTGTATACAAAAGTTCTTAAACATGAGACCATCACATCATCTGCTAGATAACCAGGGCAACAGCAGTTCTGACCCTTTGAAGTCTGCGCTCACTGTTATGTTCAGTGCTGCCCTGTGAGGGCAGAGGAGGACTAAGGATTACAGGTAAAGGCTGCCACTGACATCTGTCATGCTTGGGCAGTTTATTCTGCCATTCACAGTGCACTGTCCTTGCAACAAAGCATTTACCTTGTCCACAGTGACTCTAACCATTTCCAGCAGTAAAACAGCTGCCTCTGCACACAACCCAATTTTGAGGACATTCTCTGTAAGGTGGTGCTGCAAGATCCACTGCAACATAGACTCAAGATCTTTCTACACAGGAAGAGAGATATTTGATTAAGAGATGGGAATTATATACAATTATATACAAAAACACATCAAGAACAAAGCCTGCTGTCTCCACATCAGAAAAAACCCAACACATCTTCACCTCCAGCAGCTCCTCCCTCTTCTATTAAATGTGTAGCATTTAATACCTGCATGAACAATTTTGTTCTGAACACAAATTTTCTTAAATCAAAGTTAACTTAATTTTTAAAATATGAATGACTAATTTTTATTATCAGAAAACCCAAGTATGATTAACTTGTCTGAAAATTCTCTCATGAAAAAGGGTATAAAATGACAAAGTAGTAAAGCAATATCAATTTCAGGTGCTTTTTTCATACCTTGACTGCTTCAGGTGGTTCAGATTGTGGAGTTGCCAGAAAGAGCTCCGCCACAAGCAGGTAGATCTCAGGGATGTGGACATGATCAGTCAGACATCTTTGCAACACAGAAAACCCAAAAATCAAGAAGTTGCCATTGTCAGGCACTGGAGGATGAGTTTTTAAATTATCTTTAAAGGAAAAGAAAAGGAAAGTGTCTAAAATTAAATGTCATATCAGAGGAAGGGTTACTGACAGAACTTGATCCTCATCTGTCTCTGTCCCAGGCCAGGCAGTATCAGCAATATCAACAGTTTATAAAACTCCCTCAGAAGAACAGATAACCATTTTTCCCACTATCACTTTTGTTACAGGAGATTCTCCCTTAATTACTCGTTCTTTCTCCTCCCTTTCTCAGAACCACAGGTCTAATTATCAGAAAGCAAGCTGAACAAATCTTAAAGAAACAGAAGGTTTCAGAGCAAAGCTGACATTGCAACACCTCACGGGCTTATCAGCTAGTCTGATTTTGTGCAACACAAAAAGGCCCATCTCCCTGAAAGTGCTAATCAGAATTGCTAATTATCGTGCAAGGGAGAAGCAATGCTTTCCAGTCTTCAGCACAGAAATGCTGAAGTACAAGACAAGATTGCCCTAGAAAGTAATTTCAATTCTTGGTCTGCTGAGATCAGTGGGAATTCTCCCATCATGTACTTCAGTGATCTATCACTGAGCTGGATCAAGGCAGTGTTTGGGGAACATTAAACCAATACGTACCCATTAGAATACTCAATCCTGCAGAGCTGTTTTCCAGCCAGTGCCCAGCCACTATCCCCTCCTTGAATTTGTTCAGCAGCAAACGATTGTGGAGGAAGCACAGAAGTAGCTTGATTCCTAGCACAACTGTGCTAGAGTGCAGGTAGCTCTGTGTGAATAGCAGAAACCAGTCTGGCCCCAGTGCCAAAAATGTCTTTTCTTTTTCCCTAGGACAAACAGATAAATGAAAATACATGAAAGGAGACATGGTGAAAGACAGAGAGGAGATATTATTTAAAATTATCTCTAAGTGATTTAGAAGCTCAAGTTTCTCTAGAAAGAGTCTGATTAAAGGTGTACCACAACACAGAATCATGAAGATTTAACAACAGACTCATCTACACAGGCGAAGACACTTAATTCCTGCTAAATTCAACCTTATATTACTGTCAGACAAAAAAAGTTCACTAATATGAATCTCCTTCTGCGAATGTCTATCAATAACTGAGGCAAACTATATCACAGACTAGATTTTTTAACCTATGAAATTCAAAATTACCATTTAAATTTTGAAGTCCAAGATATGTTTTCTAGTGAAAATACACTGAGTTAAAGCACCCAGCACTATAAAATCTTCCTTTCAGTTATAAAAGGTAGAACTGTAGTAAGTGCATGCTCATGGTTATGATAGAGAGGTGCAAGTAATCCCACATTAGATTGAGTTGATTTTCACAGACAGCTGGGATTTCTTCAACCCTTGTAATGCAGAAAAAATACCAATATCTAAGTTCCTCCTTCACAATATTTTCTGAAAATGTAAAACTTTTTCCAAAATGGATATCAGACATGTGATCAGACCACACAGGTGAATGCCAGATAAATCACGGACCAAAAAGTAGCTCTGAATCCAGTCTGCTCCTACTCACTATTTTGTTGAGATTCAAGTATTTTCATTATGTTTAGTCCTGGTCAAGCACCAGCAAGAAGAAAAATTCAGAAGATAGAGACACTTGCCTATACCTTCCCATTCTACTTACTCGGAGGACAGATGAAGTTTGTCTGAGTGCATTACATCTAACAGCATCTTCAGTAACTGGTTTCGAAGCCAGATTGTCTTTCCAGATGTTTGGCTTAAGGCTACAGATATCAGAAAGTAATAAAGAGTAATGAAGAGACAAAACACATGTTCCATTGCTGTGATGAACAACTTTGTTTGCACCAAGTTAACACAGTAGAAACACTTATATCAGGTTTTTTGTAGAGTAAAAAGATGCAGACATCAAATCTTAGACATAAGAGTTCCTGCTAACATCAGAAACAACCAGTGCTTACATTGTCAAAGTCCTCTATTTAAAGTTATTTAAAACTCATTCAGACTACATGTTCAATAGGAAGCACTCTCAGGTTAACTAGAGAGGGAAATGTAAACAGGCAATCTGACTTGTGTTGCCTACTGTGATGTCTAGATATAAAAACTACAGTTATCAGCATCTTCTTAATATGACCTCTGATTTAGAGGTGCAATAACCAATATAGCCTCAACTGAAATATCACAGTGGAAAAGCCAACTGACTGGATGTTCTCCCACATGACCCTGACATAAATACACAGAAACTTGAAAAGGTGCAGAGCTACAATTATTTCCTACAACTGTAAGTGTAGCAGAGCATTCACAGAAAATCCAAGAAATTTTATTCCTTATAACAGTCCCACAGGTTAGTTCGGGGGCAATTTCAATTTAATGTCCTTCCTCTCTGTGTATATCTGAAATCCAACATTATGTAGGCTCTGGAAAACGCTGCCAAAGTACTGCTGGCCTGTTAGCAGAGATGAGGGCAAAAGGGTCACCTCAGTGCAGCCTGTCCCTTTCCATATGAAGTCATTCGAATTGTGGCTCTTCCTGCCACAGGAGGCAGAAGCACTGTATTGCATTTATGGTTCATTAGGCCCTGGGGAAGCAGGGAAGTTCTGTAGCATCTATGACAACACAAGCTAGGTAAGGTAGCTCCTTACCTTCACTGGGCATCTCAGCCACACTATCCAGGAAAAGCTGATTTTCATCCACAGAAGAAGGTTTCAAGGTGTAAACAAGGAACAATCCAATCCTTGCAGAGAAAGAGGAAAGCAGTTTTGGTCAGCAAAAAGACATTAATTTAATTACTTGGAGATTACATGCAAATCTCAATATTCATTAATGATGACTGTTAACAACCATTGGAAATTCTAGTTGTTGCAGAAATAGGAATGAAAAGTTCATAAACTAGGAAGCGAATTAAAGGGTCATCTACCTACAAATCCAACATGGAAACAAAAATGGAAAAATTTTCTATATCTATTTTAAAGGTCTTTCACCACGAGGAAAGCAATACTGAGTTAAGCACTCTGTTCATACAAAAGATTCTGAACTGCCTGTGGCATTCAGGTGTCACTGTTATCATCACTTGGTTTCCAAGCAAATAGAGGAGAGCAAAGAAACCTTAGCAGGTACTCAGGGAGGAGGACTGGCAACCTCTTTTCACCTGTAGTTTTCTTTAAAACATTACCTGATTCTAAGGATAAAAAAATTAATGTGATAATAGTGAAAGTGCATGATCTCCTCCTGCCCACAAGAAGGGCATTTCTTAAGAGGTCAGAACACCAGTTCTTCTACAGGAATGGTCCACACAGCAATTCCCATTAGATCTGTCAAAAGTCTGGGACCAGCAGAAATTCCAGCATCCTTCTTAGTGCTCAGTGCTGCTGAGAACCTGTTATAGTCTCTGCTGTCCTGGAGCTAGGAGGGTAGGGATTGTCTCTGTCCACTCAGCACTTATGGGCCTGACAACCAATCAAATTACCACAGAAAAACAAATTATGGTATTTTAAGAAAAATGCTCATTCACACTCCTAACAATGTGGCAAATTTGGTACACTAAGTCCACAACTTTCACTTGTATGAAAAAAGAATATGCTAACTCATACAAGCCCAGGGTAGGAACATACATGCGGGTAACATACATCCAGGAATATACATCTGCAAAAGAGCTGGCAAGCAGTAAGTTCACATACTAGCTTACTCCACAGTTAATTATCTGAGATGCTCATACGCTTCAACAGAGCTAAAGGCTTGTTGCAGAGACCACAGGTTTGACATGCAACTCTGTTTCTACATTTTATTGAAAACAGAGCTTTAGAAACAGAGCTGCCATCTGTGCAGTGCATTTCCCTGGAGTTAGGTGGCTGTAGACAGCACTATATGGACCTTCCTCAATTAATCAGCTACAGGCTGACACAATTAGACTGGGAATATAAAATGAAGCAGTGAAGAACTTACATTCTGTGAAGAACAAACTAGGATTTAAATTCATTTCTTTGTGAAATTCTGATAAGCAAAACTGATAGAAACTCAAGAACAAAAAGGATTGTTACTGGGATATAAACCAAACCAACAGGATTAGGTAGGTAGTTCATTGGGGCCAAGTCTAATACTATAGTGATACTTTAGGGGCAAGGCTTTAATGAAACCAAATATTAAGTACAGACTTTGAGTAGTCCCAGTCAAACCTGCAGAACTGTTTGTGCCACCATTGTAAGGGTCATCACCCAACCCATTTTCACACAAATATAAGGTTGGACTGAATGAAGGCATGAAAAAGTTTTTCATCAGTGGAGATCCTACGGTTGCCAAAGATCTGGAGTTCTACCAAACTCCATAGGAATCTGGAGTTCCTACGTGAGGAAAGATCTACTATCAAGCTCTCTCCAGTACCAGAGGGACTATAACTAATCTGCAATCTGAGGAAAAGCTATAGACTTCAAGGTTACCTGAGAACATCTCGTGTATTAAAGTATCCTTGCAACAGATGGGAGAGAATAGTGCAGGCCACAGTGATTTTGGAATTACTTATTTCAGGATCATTGAAAAGGAAAACAAGCTTGGGCACCATTTGCACCTGGTAGGCAACTGCAACATTCTGACGTCCATCTCTGTAAAAAAGCACAGGGACTGTAAAAGTTTTTACTGGTGAGAACCAAATTTGCTGAGTGTCAGCTAAAAAGATTCTCAGGTTGCATTGATATTTTGCACCTTTGTCTTCTAATGTTGCCTTGACAACATTTCAAACACTGCCAGATAAATTGAACATGTGTCAGTGATGGAGATCAGAAGAATACTTTGTGTGTTCTACCTTCTCCTCTGCCCTCTCCCCCAGTAACTGATGCATTTCAATGAGTTCAAAGAAAGTGTTATTGAATTTGCAAGCAGTGAGTTGGTGGTAATAAATGCTATTCCTGTAAAACTCAGCAAGGGACACCAGACAGCTCTGCATAGAGCTCTCTGCTGCCAAAAAGCAGGAATCTAGCTTTACTCAGCCCCTCTGCCATGCTGTATCTCTTTGGATACATTTAACTCTAGTCCAGATGATTAAGAAAGCCTACTGTTATAAAAAGTCTTCTTGGGTTATGTTTTGGTTTTAATCACAACTTTAATTACATATTTTTAAAAATTATTTCACACTCAATTCAAACATTAATTTTCCCCTCCCCAGCAGAAATTTAAACTTTCACTGTACAGCAGTAGTTCCACGTGAACCAGGTCACCAGGTATCTTTGCCCAGTCTGGCCCCAAAGTCATATCAGGGGCTGGTCAAATCACTAACTTCAGGCTTGAAAGAGAAATATAGATATTATTCACTCCCAGAGTCCACTGATTCTAACTAGGATTGGACCCTTCATAGGCATCTCACAGTTCCACCTTCAGGTTACAGACTGAGTTTGTCACACAGGTTTCTGATTCAAACACTGGTTTGTATACCTGGAAGACTGCAAGATCTCCACAAGATGGGAAAGAAGAACAAGGTCAAGATTTTCTGGTGCTTTCATCCAGAGCTGAAAGACAAAGGAAAGCAGAGGTTTTACTGCTCTGCTGAGCTGTGAGGACAGTACCTGTGGCAGGGAAACAATTAAAAGTAGTTCAGGGATGATAACATCATAAATCTCAGTGTTTCTGCAACACAACCTGTAGGCACTGGGAACTCCCTAGTGTGGGGAGTTGTTGCTCCAGAGATAGCCCTGAGGAGCAGGCCCTCTGGGAGTGTTCCTTCAGACCTGGGAAGCTGCCATCTCTCCAGGTGAGCCACAGTGTGGAAAACCCCAACACTCAACCCCATCCCAAATATTGGATGCAGGAGGTGCTATGAACAAACCAAACCATCATACTATAAAGCCGTCTTTAAAACAGTCAAACCCACAATGCAACATCAACAGTTTTACCTCAAAGTTGCAGAGAACATACTGGAATGCACTGTAATTCTTGATGACCGAAGACTCGAAGCCAAGCTCAGCTGTGCCCACTAGGGAGAACATTAACTGTAAAATCCTATTGTTTAACAGCTTTGTCTTCCTTTTCAACAGATAGGTCAGCAACTGAAAAAGGAAGATTGAATAAGTATCTGCGAGTATAAACCTGTATTTATAAACTAATATAACATTATTTTTTAATTCAAGGCAAACACAGTTTGCTCAGCTGTATTACTCATACATGGATACATTTTGCATAAGCATAATGAAGAAAGTGAAGATTTCAGTCCACACATGAAATTTCGTGCAGCAAGTGAAAGGGTAAGTTTTTGAAGGAGCTCTGTGGCATTGAACAGGAGCAAAATATATGCCATGTTATGTTGAATGGAATTTACAAAAAGGAACATACAAATATAACTGTGGATAACCAATGTAGGTTTTTGATGCTATTCTTCATGGATGTGTTCTTAGTTGCTTGCAAATGGTGTTAACTTAAAAAATATTAATGTTCACCTCTCCAAATGAAAGACATTTGTGAAATATTACCAGTTTCTCAAGTGAGCCTGCCTTTGATTATCTAATGATTTCCTAATACTATGAGGACAACATTCAGAAAGCCACTACATTTTGAACAGGTTGGGAGCAATAGACATTAATTAGAAAATACATATCAAGACACATTTATTAGTTTCCTGTTAAAAAATAAACTTCAAAGAAAAACTTCAGACCTCCAAACAAAAGCAAAAGCACTCCATTGCAATATGATGATCTGCCACATGGAGAGAAGCACAAAGTCAAAAGGAACAGCTTATACACCAATGTAAAGGCTGCATTCACCTACAAGAAAGGATTGGGCAAGTAATATCTAAGTAGGATAAATATATTCATATGAATCATGATCAATTTATGAACAATTTGCAAATTGGGAAAATGAAAATTTATAATAAATCAATCCTGATGCCCTAATGTTAAGAGTCTTGTTTGAAACCTTCCGTGTTAAAGAGTCTTCCCTGTTCCCTAAGAGTTCTCTGCTTAGCCTGCACAGCATGAAGTAAAGGATACTAAACTGAAGCTCCATACTTGAGCCTCAATCCATAGAATATTATATGCATAGATAGTTTACATACAACCAAAATCTTCAATTTCCACAGATTTCATGTTTGAAAGCTAATTTGGGACAGATCTAATCAATGAAATTCAGATGGCAGTTATTTATACCAGCCCAGTTCCTAATACACAGTGAAGACTGAGTCAAAGAAATTCATTGTCATCCCTACACTGGGCAGTCTGTAAAGAAGAATCTTAGGCTGTATGAGCCAAGGAGAAGAAGAAAACCTGTCTGAGAAATGGTCTTTTGTGGGAGGGATCAAGCGTGTAGGTAAAAGGTGAAGGGTAGGTCAGTCACAAATCTGCTGCACTGGCTTATTTAGTTTATTAGATCATGTCTGGCCAAGAGGCATCCATCCTCACCTTCCCATCAGCAGATATTTGTTATAGAGGATCCCACAGATTGTAAGCACAGGATACAGAGCACTATCCTATATCCCCCTCTCAAAGATCTTATAACTTACGAAGTTCCAATCACAAGTGCCTATAGCCAGGGTATGCTTGGTTCATTGCCATCGAGAGGTTTCGGCACAAAGTTCTCCACAGGAAGGACTATAACAGAGTGAATGAACAAGAGTGTTTACCTGGTATCCATGTATGTGCCTCATCAGTTTTTCACTTAGTGGGCTACTGTTCAGGATGGAGTTCAGAACTTTGACAGCTGCATACATGGTGTGGTCATCACAGGCCATAGCAATGAGACCCAGAAGAATGGCAGGGCCTCCAATAAAGTTCAGGCTGGTAGCTGCTGGAGAGGACTGGAACATTCTTACCCCTAGGAAATTGCAGTGTTATTCTATCAGGAAATTACATGGACTAAATCTGTTATTCGACAGAGAAAAGCTCCACTCTTAAAAAGTATTAAACATTAAGATATAGTGCATTTACCATATTGGCCCACAGCAACTGACCCAATAGTCCGCAAGGAACCCGAGAGGTGTCCAGCAATATTCTTTGCTAGGAATATTGGAGTTGAACTGTCCCGAGAATTAATCCCAATCTAAAACAGATAAAAGACATTCTCACCTTGGTAGTACTGGAGAGACAAAAAGCAACAAATGCATGCTCTAACACTTTAGATTATTTTAATACTTTTAGCCTATGAAAGTCATCTTTTTTTTTGTTACAAGTTGATTGTTAGGACAAACATTCACCCACCTACAATATCCCAGAACCCCCTTACTCTCCCATGTCAGTAGACCTGGCATTAGCAAGACTGATAGAATAGCATGTGAAAAGTCCTTGTGAAGGCATTAAGAAAACACAGAGTGAAACAAATTATCATAAGACCTAAAAACTATGGCTTCTGTTCCTGTTTCAAGAAATGCTTTTAACATTGTGTTCAGACTGTCCAATCTGTTCCACTCCACAGGTGAAAAGTAACCCATGAGTAGAATGAAGTTAAGGAATGGGAAAAGAAGCTCGAAAAAAATCACTGAATGTACACAACTAAGACAAAGTCACAAATTTTGCTTTAGGTAACTGCTCAGAAACAAGAGAAAACTTGTTTAAGACAAGGGAAGTTTGTGACCTCTTTGGCAATCAGCCGGCCATCCACTTCATTGTAGGAGCTCTTTATATCTTGAACTGTAGTAAGGGTTGAGCACACAGCATTGATTCCAAAAGAAATCTTCTCTTCTGCCACCAGAGGTGCAGTATCACTGTACTGGTCCTCACCTAAAACAAGACAGACCATGAATGTCTGAAGAAACTTTGCATTAGTGCATATTCCACATGAAGATTAACTATAAACAAATGCCCCAAGATTGTCACCTATTTCCCTTCCAGCAGGACATGGTCTTATGGTTAAGCCTCTTCAGAACTGCTGCTGATTAGTGAGAAGCAATGAAGTGGTGACACAGGACACAACACTGTTGAAACAATTCACACTGGTGTTCGCAACAAGGTCATAAATCCATTTTAAGGAATAAAACACAGTATTTTAGGGCATTGTGCTGAAGCTTTTTTTAAGTCAAAATTTCTATTTGACAAGTTCCTTTAGGTCTTTTGATGGAATAGGGAGTCTGGGGGAAGAGAGAGTGAGATCATTTTACAATTATGATGTCACATCTTGTATGCTG